CAACGAGCTCTGGCCCTGGCTGCAGAGCTCCAGCTCCAGTGCTCTCTGGTGGCATCACTACCACATACGCTCCCTGCTGTTCACAGAGCCATGTGTAGCACCAACATCAGAAGTAGCCATTCACTACTTCCAGTATCTTGTGGGAGGAGGAACAGCACCGTGCAGCTGCTTCTAGCTATGTTTCATGCCCTGGGACTGTCTGGGACATTTCACAACTTTATGGGGACTGGGACAGGAGATTTAAAGTCAGGACTCTCCTGGAAAATCTGGGATTTATGGTTGGCATAACCATAGGGTAGGAGAAGTGAAGAAGTAACATCTGCTGTGTTTTTGTTTCCATGTTAGAATGAAATTGTAAAGGGTAGTGACACAGGGAGTAGAGCCTACAAGTCTGGTCTTTGAAAAAGACTGTCATTGATCACTATTTATTAGTGAACAGACCTGACCTAGAGAAAACAATAGGATGTATGAAAGCTGAAGGAAGCAGTTTGCCTTAACTTTTCTGCAGGAGGTTGGGTATTAGAGAATGGAATTTCCCTAGCAGCAGGAACCAGATGGTCATAGGATATGCAAGCTTGTGCAATAAACAGATCAGAGACATATTCACTTACTTCATGGTTTGGAAGCACAGAAGAGTGCAGGAGGAGAGATCCTGGACTCATTAAAGGATTCTGCCCAGCACCCAAAACTCTCCAGAGTGGTGAAGACATTGATCCAGGGAAATGTGTTTATTATTTTATCTGTATCTCTGTAATGCTTTTGCTATCAAAATAAAGCTATTTAGGAGCCCTTACAAAGTCAATTTGTTTTTGCTATCACATGTCCTTGAATAATAGTGTAAACAGTAGGACTCTGAGGAGTCAGGACTGATCTTGAGGGCCTAAAGCAGCTGACGCACATGGCCCCATTTATGTGAGAGTATAAAAGACAGAGCACCTGTGCTCAGGTGAAGTGCCAAAGAAGTCACGGGGAAGAGTGCTGCAGCCTAATGAAACCCAGAGCACACAGGTCCTGCAGATTGCATAGCAGCCTGGTGTATGTCCAGCAGAGAGCGCTCTACTAGGAATGTGTGTGACAACCATGTAATCCAAAGTATTTTGTGTATGCAGTGTTTATAAATGAAGCACATTAAATGTAACATACCTGGACAGACATTTCTTGAGAAGTATATTTCATTGGATTATACAGTATTTGTAACTAAGCTGTATTTAGTAAAAGTGAGAGTGTTTTATGGAAGTGCTGTGAATCGGAATGTTTGGGTATCTGTGTGAAATGTAAGAGATCTGTTTTTGTTAACATGGCTATTGTTTTTTTTAATGAATCAGGTTAGTTTTCCTAACACTAACTTTTTAAGTAGAATGAAAAAAGGTTTCTTTTGTTGTCTGTTCATTTCTTTATGTAGAATTATTTTTTTTATTTCTGACCACATTTTGTTATATAATAAAAGAGTTGTGGCTAGGCGCTGTGCTGGGGCAGTAGCTATGACCAGATTGGATCTTGGGTCCGAACGGGGCTGAGAGGCACTCCCGCCCCACTTTCCCATGGGAACTTGCATGGGCTCTGCCACCCAGCACCAGATGTTCCTCCACTCCCCACTAGGAAGAGACACCTCACAGTTTGGAGACCGCTGTCATTTCTGACAGAAAGGTTTCTCATATCATATCTGTGCAATTGTTGCACCTAAATTGGATGGCTGTAATACTTCATCTAGTTTCTTGATTTCTTATAGCCATTTTATAATAAATCAAATAAACTGGGAGACTGCTGTCATATCTTTAAAAAGTTAAGGACATCGTTTGATGCTCTTATTTTGCTCTAATGGCTAACCACAGACACTTATGAAAGTCTACTGAATATCATTACAGGAATCTCTAAATATCTGTACAACAAAAAATATTTAAAGATAAAAACAAGACCTATGACACCATTTTAAAATTAGTACACATTTGTAGAGCTACATTTGTATGCAAGTAAATTAAGGGAGAAGAGTGTGGAAGGTGAAAAAAGAAGAGGAGAAACAGGCTTAGTGCTGACTTCACATGTGACAATGAACTATTCTCTGGGTGGCAGCAGTGAGATAGGTGGAGATATAGTATCATCCTGGACAGGTTTCCTCTTGTTATTGTGTATTTCTAGGTCCTTAGGTGACAGTAAAATGTTGCTTTATATTTTTTGTAACACTCAGTTCTTTTCTTCTTGAATTCAAAACAGTGGTGCTTGGAATCTTCCCTTATTCCTTGGGAGTATGTCTACACTGCCACCCTAGTTCGAAGTAGGGTGGCTAATGTAGGCATTTGAACTTGCAAATTAAGCCCGGGATTTAAATATCCCGGGCTTCATTTGCATGTTCCCAGGCACCGACATTTTTAAATGCCCCATAGTTTGAAGGAGGTTTAACAGTAGTTTGAATAAGGAGCTTTAATTTGAACTACCTAGTCCGTGCCACGTGTATCCGCGGGCAGGTAGTTCGAACTATGGGGCATTTAAAAATAGCGGCGCCTGGGAACATGCAAATGAAGCCCGGGATATTTAAATTCCGGGCTTCATTTGCAAGTTCGAATGCCTACATTAGCCACCCTAGTTCAAACTAGAGTGGCAGTGTAGACATACTCAAAGAGAGGGACAATAATTCCAGCTATAAAATAATACAGTACTAGAACTTTTAAACTAGAATCTTATAGACATGGTGGCAGTAGTTACATATTATACCATGTAAGAGATTGGGCCATTTTTTTCCCTGCCTTGTGACATGCAGTCCCTCTGACATTGATATGATTTTACAAAGTGTAAGTCAGTGGGCCAGTGTCTTTCAGATGCTATGTTATACTGAGAAGGCTTCTGTTGGTCTCTGTTTGTTTTTCTGGTGAAAGATAAAACATTTTGAAAAGAGTATAGACTAATCTGAGTTGTCTGGTCAACCTTGTCATCTATTTTAAGAGTGGAGGTAATGTCCACACGTGTATGGTTTTTGTGATAACTTCTGTGTTTGCTTGCAGTATCTAACTCCTTATGGGTACGTCTACACTACAATGTTAATTCGAACTAACTTAGTTTGAATTAGTTAATTCGAACTAAGCTAATTCGAACTAACGGATCCAGACTAAAAAACTAGTTCGAATTAGCGTTTTGCTAATTCGAACTAGCATGTCCACATTAAGTGGACCCTGAACCGGGGTTAAGGATGGCCGGAAGCAGTGCCGGCAGGGCATCAGAGGAGGACTTAGAGCGTGGAGATGCTGTCTCAGGCTAGCCGAGGGCTGTGCTTAAAGGGTCCTGACCCCCACCCCGGACAGACAGTTCTCAGGGGTGTCCCGCTTGCAAAGCAGTCCTGGCTTGGATTGCCCGGTGTACCCACACTGGGCACATCACAGCACTCGGCCATCAGACCGGCTTCACTTGCCGCAGGCTGCCATCTGGGGAGAGGGGGAAATTGGGGGG